AAGAAGAGAAAATCTGATCCTAAGAAGTGGAAAAAAAAATATTCGCAAGCAAAAAAGGGCAGCTGGTAAAGAATATATCAATACTTCAGGTACTGTCAGACACTCTAAATAATATCTGCATTGCAAAATAAATGCAAATAGCTTACAGCACAGCAAAAAAAAAGTTTTTTTAATTTGTTTTATAACGAGTCACAGTCTTGGGAAACTCAAACAAGCATAATAAGTGGTGCTGTAAAATGTAGAACGATAATAAGACGTCGTAAGAACACTGATATTTAAAAAAAAAACAGGCAATCGTGAATTTTATATCCCTTCTGAAAACGGAGATATTAAAGTATGCAAAAAAATGTTTATGGGAATATTACAAATCAATAGTAGTAGAGTACATCGTGCTTTGCTTAAGAAAAAAAGTGGAAATTTAAGTGATCTTAGAGGGAAAAAAGTGCCTCATAACAAATCTTCACCGTCCACAATGGAGTCAATAAAAAATCATATACAAAGTTTCCCTACCATAGTAAGTCATTACTGTAGAACTCAATCCCAAAAAAATACTTGGATTGTAATTTAAATTTGTCATTAATGTACAGACTCTATGTTGATAGTTTAAGAGAGAGAAATGTTGACAAAGTTCCAAGCCAATCGCTTTATGAAAAAGTGTTCAGACGTGATTTTAATCTTAGTTTTAAATCTCCGCGAAAAGATACCTGTCAAACATGTGACAGGTTGAACATTGAAATAAAGGCAGCTGAGGAAAACAAAGATGAAGCAATGTTAAAGACTAAGAAACTAAACCAGGAACTACACCACAGAAAAGTACAGTTAGCTCGCTCAGAAATAAATGAAGACGTTAAGATTAGTAAAGAAGGAAAAGCTACAGTAATTAGTTTTGATCTTCAGAAAGTAATGCTTCTTCCTAAACTAACCACAGGAGTTGTTTACTATAAGAGGCAGCTTTCATGCTACAATCTTGGTATACATAATTTTGAAAATAATGTCGGGACAATGCATGTTTGGGATGAGAGCACTGCCTTACGAGGTTCCCAGGAAATAGGATCATGTATTTTAAAATTCATAAATACCCATGATCATAAGGACATATTGATTGCATGGTCTGACTCATGTGGCGGCCAAAACCGCAACATTAATATTGCCGCGTTATGGATGTACATAGTGCAGTCCCCTACTTTAAACATAAAGGAAGTAGTTCATAAGTTTGCTGAGCCAGGACATTCATATCTACAAAACGATAGCGATTTTGGTGATATAGAAAAAAGTTAAATATCTGAAATTATGTGCCTACACAATGGCATAACATAATTTCAAACTCAAGAGTTAAAAAGAACAAATTTGAAGTAGTATGCATGGAAAAAGAGGATTTCAAGAGTATGGATGCATTAAAACAAAATCTGGTAAACCGCAAAAAAGACTCAGATGAACAAAAAGTAGAATGGTTAAAAATAAAACAAATGAAATTTACTCAAGACCATCCAGGAGTTATGGAATTTAAATACACACATAACAAAGAAATACAATTTTATTCAGTAAATCTAAATAAGAGATTGAAAGGCCGACCTGTAAACCTAGCTTCTTTAAACTTAAGCATTCTTTACCCGAAGGAAGAAAATTAAGTCAAGCAAAACTTAATGATATCAGATCACTTTTGCAATTCGTACCACCATGCCATCACCAATTTTACAATAAACTTCAACAAAGTGAAGTATTGGAAGATGACATTGAAGAAGAGAATGACAATAACAATGAAGAGGAAAATGAGATGAACAATGCGATCTAAATATTGCTACTATTAGTTTTTTTACACATTTGTATAATTTAATTACTCATAATTCTTGAAAATTTAATTCTTTTGTATTGTTAGTTTTAATGATGTATTAATAAACTTGATTACAAACAAAAAGAACAATTTATTTATACTTCTCATGCCAGACAGAACTAAGTGCTAAAAAGTTTGCCAAAGTGAACCATGTACTGCAAATGCTGACCAAACAGCTTTAAAAGTAGACAAAATCATGTGCTGTTACTAAAAGTCTTAAAGAAATGTTCTTTTGAATAGTCTTAGAACCTTTTATATCCTATAAGAGATTATAACATATTGCGTATATTTTATAACTCCTTCATAACTTTAAACTGTCGTACTGAAAATTTTCAATTTCGGCTTTTGGTTCACTCTGGCATGAGACCATCCAATTATTTTGTGGAATATACATAGATACTTAGATACCTACCTAGATAATTCTAAACGATCACCTACATATTTATAACAAAACATCAAAATAAAAAAAAAACATATTTTAATTCAGTTAGTTTCAAACTATAAAAAAATTTTAAATTACTAAACTAAAAACTAAAATGCTGTATTCTTTAAAATACAATTTAAATTCTGGTAAAAACCAACTAAAAAATCATTTTAAGTAAACATCTAAAGTAAAACAAATATTATATAGTGAATTACTTCAAATACAAAATGTATTGAAAACGGTATTCCACACGGCTCAACCTTAAGCCCCACTCTATTTTTAATAGCAATTAATAATATCACTCAAGTGATAAAGCTACCAGACCAGAAGACTGGTCACAAAAAACTGGTTTTACGTTCTCAAGTGATAAATCTCGTTTTATCGTATTTAATAAAAGAAAAACTGATTGCAAAACAATACTTGCAATCTAAATGGTATCAACCTAAAACAAGCAGAGAGCATTGAATTGCTTCGTCTGAGAGTGGACAGTCAGTTAACATGGGCAGAACATATTAAAAAGCTAGTAGTATCCTGCCAATCTAAAATAAATCTCCTTAAAATGCTATCAAACCGATCTTGGGTAGCGGACACCATAATATTGCTACATATATATATCAATCATTAATCCGAAGTAAACTGGATTATGGTGTAATATGCTATTTAACTGCGAGTAATTATTTTCCAAAAAACTAGACAATATACACAACACATGTTTAAGACATACTGGGTGCTTACCAAACTAGTCCTGTTTCAAGTTTTCAGGTTATCCTAGATGAATACCAAGACAACATATTTCTTTAAATTATGCCGCGAGATTGTCTTCTAACCCTAATAACACAAACTATCCACTTCTTAACAAAATATATCCACCTACTCATTGCCATCAATTGCCATTAAATATCCACCCTTAAAGAACGTTTAACGAGATATGGTCTTGACATGGAGCAGTTGACACATTCTTACCCTACACAACGAATTATACCTCCCTGGACTATTTATATATCCCTTACTGCCTATCAAAAGAGTACCACAAATCTCATAATCAGTTACAAATTCTATCTAGAACGGATATCAGAATACACTGACCATAACAAGATTTTTACTGATGCGTCAAGAAATGACGCATCAGTCTCTATTCTAGACCAGACCCAGCAGCCTCTATTCTAGGTAAGTCTGAATATGCAGTTCGCATCCCTAATTCTGCAGCATTTTCACGGGAGAAGCAATTGCCATTTTAAAGGCATTAGACATGTGTAAGAGTCGCGCAAGCTCAAATTTTCTTGTCATTACTGACTCTATCTGTTCTTCAGAGCTTAAGGCAAATATATCCAGTACATGCTATCCTGCAACAAATACAATTAGCACTTTATCATCTACAAAACAGACACGTGAACGTTAAATTTTTCTGGGTTCCATCACAAACACGTATCGCAGGAAATGAAAAAGTAGATGAATTAGCAAAGAAACCTGCTACTGACGAGCAAACTGAAATTAAGACTACAATTCCATTCAGTGATATACAGCTCAATATTAAACAGCATTGTGTAAAAAATGGCAACAAATGTGGAATTCTAATAAGGCTAACCTCAAAAACGTTAAAAGTAGGATTGGCACTAAACTATAATTTCCAAAAACCAGAAGGCAACAGGTGATTATAAACCGACTAAGAATTGGGTATACAGCGTTAACTCACCAGCATCTCATAACAAAAGAACTACCACCTGAATGTTCCTATTGTGAATGTCCAATAAATGTTCAACATTTTATATTGGTTAAATATCCTCTTTATTCCTATGAAAGAGCCATTAACAACTTAAAGATATTTTAAACTGTAATATATCAAATATAATCAAATTCCTTAAGGACATACGTTTACTACACAAAATTTAAGTTATATTATATGCATCATTTTGTAATTTTTAATTTATTATTTGTAATTTAATACGCAATTTGTAATTCGTATATTTAATAAAAACTGTAAAATCTGTAAAACCCGCTAATAACCTTAATGGTTGACGCGGAAATTCTACATACAAAAAAATCTTTTATTGTGTTTATATTCAGATATTCTTAGGATTTTTCTTAGCAAAGCAAGTACTACAAATAAATTTTTGTTTATATAGTTTGTATTTAGTTAAGCAGCTAACATGATAAGTCCTAATGCAGTTCTAACATTTTATTCCTATGTTTGTCCTGTAAATATTGTGCGTAAAAATAAAACATAGTCCTCGTGGACCAATCGTATTATATTCTGGTAAAGATTGTGGTGATGGCCGTTCTGGACTTTCATGAAAAAGATTTTTTGTATGGGAGACTTTAGTTTTTAAATTTGGAGTAACCGCGTCTGATACTTGCGATCTGCGAAAATTTATGTCTGTTGAAAAGTCATGGTTATTGTTGCTAGTACCACAGCTTCTAGAAGTACCGCAACCAGATTTGGCATGAAGACAGAACGTTTTATAAGGTGTGACATACTTATTTATAGAATGGTTGTTAACATCTTTACTATTTGCTTTTTTTAAGGTTTTTAGGATTTTCTTCTTATAAAATTGCTCTTTATCCCTCTTTATCTGTTGCTTCTCTAATCTTCTATATTTATTCTCTGCTTTCTTTTTCTCTTTTTTAGTTCTTTTCTCTTGTTCCAATTGCCTTTTATAAACCATAACGTAAGCACAAATGAAGTTTTCTTAGTTTGTCGTTTACCCGTTATTTCTAGAGTTTTCGTTTAGATTAAATATTTATTAATTATGACGATATTTGATTGTTGTTTTCGTTTTTATTATTCTCTTTATCGGTCCCTTCTTCTTGTGTCCTCATCGAATTGTTTTGTTTTACATATTGTTGACATTTTGTTCCAATAGTTGCTACGCTGTCATCAACTTCTATGAATTCATCTTGAAATTTCAATTTTTGCTAAATATTTAGCGATGTATCAGGTAATTGGGTTAATATAGGCTTGCATATACCTTACGAAGGAGAAACCTTTGTCAGAATTGTATTTTGCAGTATGACAATTATTTTCTACTAATACTGTCCTCATCAGCGGGTTGTTTATCACAAAAAACAATAAGTATATCTTCTATATTATCTTCGTTTAAAAATAAAACTATTCATCGTTATAATGTACTACGCTATCATTTAGATCTTCTATTTGTATCTCTATTGTATGGTTATATGTGCCAGATTCCGTTTCAGATTTAAAATACGTTTTCATTTTTTGTAATAATAGAAAATTTTCACAATTTTCATCACATTCAGTAAATAAGGCGCAAAAATCATGAAGTTCTAATGACTTATTTTTTACAACTATTTCAATAAACTTTTGATAAGTTAAAACCCTATTATTATCAGTCTTACGCTTCTCAGTGTTTGCAACATTGGAACCGGTTATTTTTGGGTAGTTTTTGCCTGAATATTTGTCGTAGTATCTCCTTCTTCTTCAAGTGCCATCTCTGCGGCGGAGGTCGGCAATCATCATAGTTATTCAGACTTTTGAGACAGCTGCTCTAAAAAGGTGTATTTCTTTTAGAGAGCTATGAGAACAATACCAAGCTATGTACAAAGAGTACTAAATTGATAGCTAAGATGAGTTGTATGGCCGTGCACAAATAGAATGACGAGAAATTTAACATTTTTATTTTTTAAATATTGATGAAATACCATTTAAATTATATTCTGTTAATTTTCTGAGAATAAGAGGTCTTTGTACAGTGTCAAGGGCCACTTTAAATATCTTAAGTTACTGCTATGACTTTGTTTCTATTCGAAAGTGCATTAACAGTTTCAGTGTGTAGTGTGACCAAGTTATCAATTGTAATTCGATTTTATCTAAAGCCTGTTTGGAATGGGTCAAGAATATTATTTCTGTCTAGATACCATAGCAAGTGTTTGTTGACCATCTTTTCCAACAGTTTTTCCAACATTCTTTCTGATCGGAATTGTCGCCATAACAGTGGGGAACTGTTTTTGAGACAAATAAGATTTTGTTTGATAAGTATAATAACGTACCAGTTTTCGTTTTTTTAAATAGAAACGTTCTGGAGGTATTAAAAAAACTAATTACAAGGACCTATCTTCAAAGACCTTAAGAAACATTTTCGGACTAAATGAATTGGATTAAATTGTTTTAAAATTATCTGAGGAATTTCCAGTCTTCGTTTGTCAGCACAGTTTCTAAACACCCTGTATATTAAGCGTTATGCACAGTCTCAGTTGACGACTTACTGACGTAGAAAAAGACTAAACGTAGAATTTACTGACTGTTCAATACATATTAGTGTCTCATTTTATTATCATTCTGCATATTTAAACCATCTAAATAAGATGTCAAAAGTCTGCAGCCCCTTGTTTTCTCTAATAAAAGACATACTTAAATATAAATCGCTTAAGACCGTATGTACCCATCTGTTACTCAAATTAAACGATATTTTCAGATCGACTTCTCGTTAATTGTAACATAAATATTTGGATAAATGCAAATTTTATTTCTAGATACAAAGAAATGAATAAACTGTTTAAATTTATTTTGTAGTTTATTAAGTAGTTTATAAAGTCATTATGCGAGACAATAGTAGTTTATAATAAACTGTTTACTAAATGTTAAGCAGATAACCATAACACACTGGTAGATGTGCAAATAGGGCATGTGTAAATACTTTATTCTATTAAAAAAAAAAACATTAAATAATTTGAATAGCAAATTTGACTTTTGTTGATCTTATATGAATACATAAATGTGGTAAAATAAAAATGTGGTTTTTAAATAGTTTTTCTTGATATTTTTTTTTTATTTTAAACTGCTTCAACCACAAGGGAAATAAGCAATGGTCAGTACATTTTACAGATATCATAAATATTATTAAAAAAACAATAAAGAATACAATATGATTTTGGTAATTAGTCCTGGTGAAACCAAAAAAAAGTATAGTACCATTGTGGTCACTATGTTCACTTATAAGGTCTTTTATTGTTGTAGGTATAGGTTATTCCACGAATATACGACTGTTTGGAATTATTGCTACAACGAATATTTTACTGTACAAGTAGAAGTATGAAAGTAAATTGGTCTAATTATTATTCCATAAAAAAGGATCTTCTGTTACTATGACATATAAACTAAAATTATTTCAGTTAGTAGATGTTCAGATAGACGCAAAATTTATTGTGAAAATTAATCCGAAAATAACAAAAAAATTTACGTAAACTGCTCCTACAAATAAATAGAATGACCTCTATGAAGTTAAAATGTGTTCATCAGCCATTTGAGTTGGATTTCGGTGAAATGTAAACACCAAAGAGGCGCGCCGGGTATCTTTATTACTTTATTACTTTAGGTACTACATCGGTAATAAAAAGAAATATATTATTTTTAATATAAATAAAAAGAAATTGGCAGAACGATGGTTCAGAAACCAGAAAAAGAATCTAGTATTCCACTTTGTTAGTTTTTTGTTTGCTTTGAGTGGATATACTCTTAAAAGTTCCGAAAGTAACGGGTATAACATGGCGGCTATTGATAGTTAAAGTACCGAGTCATTACAGATATTAAAAAGTAACGAAAATTTACATACAGTTTCATAAATCGCCGACTGATTTTAGTTTTAAAAACTGTCCGTATAGAGGTGTCCGGTGAAGAGACGTGTCCGTTAAGAGAGAGTTTAGTGTAGTGTATTTGTTTGTAATGATGATTAGGAGAATAAGAGTAAGAGTAAGTTTTTTTGTTTTTTTTAATACTTATTGAATATTCGACTAAATAAATTAAACTATTTAATCACTTAAGTATTGTTACACTTCGTTTAAATCACTTAATTCAAAAACCAACTTGTGTACAATACTAAAGTCAATGAGAGTAATTATACGAGTATACTTCAAAATCTAAATTACAACTATTCTATAAACTATCAATTCTATATTTAGATCATAACTTCATATTTAAATCTAAGGTGTATATCTGTCATAACAGTATTTTAAAAATAGGGAGAATTTACCATTGTACAAGTCAGCACATTGGACCATTTAAGTCGACACCTTAAAGCGAATTTAAAACAGTCGTATCTTTGTGGAATGGAGTATAACTGTTCATATTGTGAAGCACGTGGTGTTCGTGTGCATTAAGGTATAAAAAATGCTTATTAAAAGCTTAAAATTTTTATTTTAAAGAAGATCTTTTCGGAATTGAATCATTCCATCATCAGTTTAATAAAAAGTTATTAAAAACATTGTAAGGCAACATAAAAACATTGGAAGGACATCCGTATTAAAAAAACAATCCTCATGGTATTTATAACGGTAAATGCAATAGACTGTTAACTTGTTGATTAATAAAAACTAAAAATGGAGGCATCTTACATGACCCTCTGTAGCTGGTGAGGTTTTATCGACTTACATTACCTAAGGTAATGTAAGATGTTCACTTTTCACTATTCTCTGACACACTAATAACTATAGTTTATTTTTATGAACGAGAGAGTAATTAGCATAATTTTAACTGGTACCTCTGACCACTCCATGGGCGTGCTCAAGATTAATTGAAAAATTACTTTGAATAATTGTAAAAAATAAATGAATTATTTCAGTGTTATAAAGTGTTATGTGTATGTAAACAAAAGTGACCTCTTTTATCACACACTATATTAGAACTGACTGACCTACATTAAAAAGGGTTTTAAAAAATTCACATTTTTTTTAATTTTTAAAAATTACAAAAGAGAAAAAGAGTTTTTAAAACCGTCTAAGGTATGTTAAGTAGATAAATAAAAATATTAATATAAAACTTACAGCTACTTGTTACAAATCCAAATCAGATTCAGAAGATGAACTTTCAGAACCAAGATTTATAATAACTGGCTCGATCATTTTATCAGTAATATTGTCCAGCTTCCACATTTTTTCCTCTTCTTTAATAGTGTGATTTACTGCCTTTTCCCAGTTTTCAAGTTTTACATTATTTACGTATCATCTCATCAATTCCGTATTTTTTAAATATTTCTTTATGAAGGGCACACAACGAATAAAGTTCCTTTCTTATAGATCCGGGATGGTACGTAATATTTTTTGAACTCAGCCAATTCTGCAAGTCTTTATTTAACCACTTGGTTGTGGGCAGTCCTTCTATAAGTCTGGAGTGATAACTTGCATTATCCATTACTATTACACAGTTCTTAGGAAGAAGATCTATCATTTGTTCGAACCATTCTTGAAAGACATCAGCGTTCATGTCTTCATGGTAGTCACCGGTACGAGTTGATTCAAAAGTTAATAACCACCTTCAACAAAACCGTCTGAACTGCCAATGTGTACTATTATCAGCCTGCGTCCCTTTCCTGATGGTGGGTTTAAACCAGTAGATAAGTTATTTACAAAAGCGTGCCTTTGACTTGTAACAATTTCATCCTGCCAAAATTTATTTGGTGTATGACCCTCGTTGATCCATGTTTCATCAAGATAAAATATTTTTCTTTTTTGGTTTCTCATTTCCTTTATGATTTCTTTTAAAAGTTTCCATAACGTACTTCGACTCATTTCTGGGTATTCCTTATCATCTAGAACTGAGACAAGAACTTTATCCAATGTTGGAAATTCTTGTCTAAAGAAGAATTCATGCACTTTCCGTCGAAGTCCTTCTTTAAAATGATATTCTATTTGAAATTCTGGTTTCCCTGGAGCATTACGTGGCATTTGAAAACTACCACATTTCTCTTCTTTAATAACTCTGTAAATCGTAGATTTCCCAACACCAAGTGTACTGCTAACTAACTCAACGGTCTCATCAACACTTTCACATAAACGTTTGTCTGTAAATGATTTAAAACAATTAAATATTAATGTTTTTTCATTAACTGTTCAAGGACCAATTTTTCGGCGTTTACACGGCACTTCCAAATTTTCCATAACATTAGTATACACAATAAACT